AAAGCAATGACGACTTAAGATGAGGATGAGGAGGAAGAGGAGGAGGAGGTGGAAGAGCAGGAGGAAGAGGAGGGGGGAAGGTGAAGAGCAGGGAGGTGGAAGAGGAGGAGGAGGTGGAAGAGGAGGAAGAGGAGGAGAAGAAAGAGAGGAGGAAAAGGAGGAGGAGAAAAGAGAGGAGGAGGAAGAGGAGGAGGAGTAGAAGAAGGAGGAGGAGAAAGAGGAGGAAGAGGAGGGTGGGAGAAATAAGAGGAAGAAAAGGAGGAGGAAGAGGAGGAGAAGGAAGAGAAGGAGAAAGAGGAGGAAGAGGATGAGGAGAAAGAGAAGGAGGAAGAGGAGGAGGAGAAAGAGAAGGAGGAAGAGGATGAGGAGAAGGCAGAGGAGAGGGAGGAGAAGAAGTGGTGGAGGTGGAGAGAGGAGAAAGAGAAGGAGGAGAAAGGAGGAGAAGGAGGAGAAGGAGGTGGAAGAGGAGGAGAGGAGGAGGGTGAGAGGAGGTGGAAGAGGAGGAGGAGAGGGAATCTGAGAAATAGGAGGGGGAGAATGAGAAAGAGGAAAATAAGGAGGAGGAGGAGGTGAAGAGGAGGAGGAAGAAAGGAGGAGGAGGAAGAAAGGAGGAGGAGATGGAGGAGGAGAAGGAGAAGGAGGAGAAGAGGAGCAGGAGTAGGGAGTAGAGGGAGAAGGAAAAGGGAGGAAAGGAGGAGGAGAAGGAGGTGGAAAAGGAAGAAGAGGAGGAGGGAGGAAAGGGAAGAAGAAGAAGGAGGAGGAGGAATAGGAGAAGGTGAAGAAGGAGAAGGAAGAGGAGGTAAGGAAAAAGGAGAAGTAAAATAAGAATAAGAATAAGAAGGAAGAGGAGAAGAAGGAAAAAAAAGATGAAGAGAAAGGAGGACGAGAAACATATATATATATATATATATATATATATATATATATTATATATATATATATATATATATATATATATATATATATATATATATATATATATATATATATATATTATATACATATACACACACGCAAGTGTGTATGTGTGTGTTTGTGAATAACTATGCAGTGTGATAAGATGTTTCTTTTAAGATACACATGTTAATTAATCTTCTCTCAGTAATTCAACACACAAACATATCTGCGCACCCACACACACAATTACAAAAATGTCCTTATCCAATTGACTTTGTTACCCCTGAACTTTAGTTTTCTTCGAGTTTTTTTATAGAGAAAATGTGTCTTAATTTGTTATGGGTGACTTAACTTTTTTTTTCAAATTTATCATATTCAGCTCATAAGGGTGCATAAAAATTATCTTTTATAAATTGGTACGTGAAGAAGCTGAATTTAACTCATGCTCGTGTGGTATTGCGATATATCCCGAGGTAGACTTTATAAATAACTTCCATTTGATTAAAACACGTTACCATTTTTTTTTTGATGTATTGCATTTTTTTGACTATCATTTAAAGTAGCTTGCGATTTGCGGTTGTTACTTCGTTTTGATTAATTACTTTGATTCTTGTATCTTTCCATTTTCCCATAAATTGCTACTCTGATGCCATTGTTTGTCCCTTTGGTGAATTTCCATGGGAGACAAGTTCGAGGGTCAACTGAAGGCCAAAGAAGAAGCAAAATTGAGGATTCCTTTATTTAGAGAAAAACTGGAAATCCCTTCAATAATATTAACACAGCCTCGCGCATCTTCCTGGATAATTTGTTTTCCTGTAAAAAATACCTTATGAAAAAGAATGAAGAAAAAGTTCTTGTAGGGGGATGAAAAAAAAAAAAAAGTAGGAGGATTAGACTAAAACAAGGGAAGCAAGAGAACCAATAGAGAGAGAGAGAGAGAGAGAGAGAGAGAGAGAGAGAGAGAGAGAGAGAGAGAGAGAGAGAGAGAGAGAGAGAGAGAGAGAGAGAGAGAGAGAGAGAATCACGAGGAAAAGAGATCTAGGGATTTGTCAGTCCTTCCACGATCCCTTGCAGCACTTTCTGTGTCCATCCCCCCAACAGAGTGAAGATATCCAACAGCAGCAACTCTTGCACCGTAGACCCTGCTTCGGCTCGCCTCTCTTGCATCACGGACTCTGCTTCGGCTCGCTTCACGGACTCTGCTTCGGCTCGCCTCTCTTGCTTCACGGACTTCTCTTCTTCGGCTCCTTCTCTTGCTTCACGACTCTGCTTCGGCTCGCTCTTGCTTCACGGACTCTGCTTCGCTCGCTTCTCTTGCTTCACGGCTTCGGCTCGCTCTCTGCTTCACGGACTCTGCTTCGGCTCGCCTCTCTTGCATCACGGACTCTGCTTCGGCTCGCTTCTCTTGGGCTCTGCTTCGCTCGCCTCTCTTGCTTCACGGAGCTTCTCTTGCTTCACGGACTCTGCTTCGGCTCGCTTCTCTTGCTTTCTCTCGGCTGCTTCACGGACTTCGGCTCGTTGCTCACGGGCTTCGGCTCGCCTCTCTTGCTTCACGGACTCTGCTTTCGCCTCTTGCTTCAGACTCTGCTTCGGCTCGCTCTCTTGCTTCACGGACTCTGCTTCGCTCGCTTCTCTGCTTCACGGACTCTGCTTCGGCTCGCTTCTCTTGCTTCACGGACCTGCTTCGGCTCGCCTCTCTGCTTCACGGACTCTGCTTCGGCTCGCTTCTCTTGCTTCACGGACTCTGCTTCTGCTTCGGCTCGCCTCTTGCTTCACGGACCTGCTTCGGCTCGCTTCTCTTGCTTCACGGACTCTGCTTCACGGATTCACGGACTCTGCTTCGGCTCGCCTCTCTTGCTTCACGGACTCTGCTTCGGCTCGCCTCTCTTGCATCACGGACTCTGCTTCGGCTCGCCTCTCTTGCTTCACCTCTGCTTCGGCTCGCTCTCTTGCTTCACGGACTCTGCTTCGGCTCGCCTCTCTTGCTTCACGGACTCTGCTTCGGCTCGGCTTCTCGCTTCACCTCTGCTTCGGCTCGCTCTCTTGCTTCACGGACTCTGCTTCGGCTCGGCTCTCACGGCCTCTCTTGCTTCACGGACTCTGCTTCGGCTCGCCTCTCTTGCTTCACGGACTCTGCTTCGGCTCGCCTCTCTTGCTTCACGGACTCTGCTTCGGCTCGCTTCTCTTGCTTCACGGACTCTGCTTCGGCTCGCTCTCTTGCTTCACGACTCTGCTTCGGCTCGCCTCTCTTGCTTCACGGACTCTGCTTCGGCTCGCTCTCTTTGCTTCACGGACTCTGCTTCGGCTCGCTCTCTTGCTTCACGGACTCTGCTTCGGCTCGCTTCTGCTTCGGCTCGCCTCTCTTGCTTCACGGACTCTGCTTCGCCTCTCTTGCTTCTCTGCTTCATCTGCTTCGGCTCGCCTCTCTTGCTTCACGGACTCTGCTTCGGCTCTGCTTCGGCTCTTGCTTCACGACTCTGCTTCGGCTTCACGGGCTTCGGCTCGCCTCTCTGCTTCACGGACTCTGCTTCGGCTCGCCTCTCTTGCTTCACGGACTCTTGCTTCACGGACTCTGCTTCGCTCTCTTGCTTCACGGACTCTGCTTCGGCTCGCCTCTCTTGCTTCTCTGCTTCGGCTCGCTCTTGCTTCACGGACTTTGACTCTCTTGCTTCACGGACTCTGCTTTGCTTACGTCCTCGTCGCTTCCAAGAAACAGGAAGTGGCACACCAGATCCAGGTTACTCACGCAGCTCAGTATCTTGTCGAGGATGATGCTGGTCTGCGTCCGGGGTTTGTCCATGCAGTTCAGCATCTCCACCACCTGCAGCAGCTCCTCGACAACCCCCATCTCCTCGTAATACGAACCTGCTGCGCTGCTGGCCTCCCTGGCTCCCGGACCTGCTGGGTCGTCCTCCTCCTCCTGCGAATACAGGAGGCGGCTGACCTCGGAGCTCGAGAGGAATTCAGTGGCTTTAGAGACGACGAGGTGCAGCAGCTGCTCCAAGATCCTCAGATTCACCACGAGCACGAGATGCAGTTTTCCCCAAGGCGAGAGCTTTGAGGTAAGTGTGGCTATTACTTCTTCTGCTTCCCGATCCCCATCAGGGCCTTCTTCTGGTGGCTCTCTGGGCCGAGATTCCGACGTCGTCTCCGTCGTTTCTTGGTCCTTCGGGTCAGCTCCTCCTGCTGGCTGCTGCTCTTCCTCGCCGCGACCGCTGCCCGACGCCCGCTGCTTGCCGGACCGGGAGGCCGTCGACTTCTGTGGGCGAGGATCGAGGGCGTGTAAGAGAGATTAGAAATGGGAGGGAGTGGGAAGGCGGAGGCAAGGGAGAGAAAGAGGGGGGCGAGGAGGAAGACTGGAGAGAATAAGAGAGGGGGCGAGGGAAGGAAAGACTGGAGAGAGAATAAGAGAGGGGGATGGAATGAGAAAGAGAGGAAGAGAAATATTCAGTCACACAAAAGTTTCGGGAGAGCAAGGAAGCGGAACAGAACGCGGGTCATGAGGTACAAAAGTAACGTTTTTTTCTTTCTTTTTTTAGATGGGAACGTTAATTTACAAATTCTTACTTCCTTGCCCGAACATTAGTGAATAAAAAATTAAAAAAATAAAAATATATATACAAATATAAACAATAAAAAGTAAAGCCTTACCTCGCCGTCTCCTTCCATCTCTTTTCTATCTCCTTTTTTATCCGAAGAGGGAGGAGAGGGAGAGGAGGGAGAGGAGAGGGAGAGGGAGAGGGAGAGGAGAGAGAGAGAGAGAGAGAGAGGAGAGAGAGAGGAGAGAGAGAGAGAGAGAGAGAGAGAGAGAGAGAGAGAGAGAGAGAGAGAGAGAGAGAGAGAGAGAGAGAGAGAGAGAGAGGAGAGGAGAAGAGAGGGAGGGGGTAGAGGGAGGAGGAGGGAGGAGAGAGAGAGTTAACAAAAAAGCAGTCACATCATGAAATACGCAAAGTACAAAAACGAGAAATAAAACCAAGAAAGCCTCACCTCACAAAAGACTTCAACGAGCTCCCAGTGCGCCTTCTTCAGCACAGGCCTGAAGACGTCCAGCTCCTCCTTCAACTGCTTCCTCAACCTCTCCCACCAAGTCTCGACGACCACCTCCCCCCTCTCCTCCAGCAGGGCCTTCATCTTCTCCTCCGGTTGCCTCTCTTGCTCCAAGACCCCTCCTTCGCTCGCGTCCTCGTCGCTGTCCTCATCAGACGACGAGACAGCGTAGCACAGTTCCGCCAAGTTGCTCCGGATCTTGTCGAAGACGTTGTGGCTGCTCCTTCGGGATCTGTCCAGGGCGTTTAGCATCTGCACCGCCTCCAGGAGCCTCTCCAGAACCCCCTCCTTCCCGCCGAACGCATCTGCGAAGTCCTCCGGCGAGCGTTCCTCCGTCGCGCTCTGGCGGCTGCGGATCCCGAGGCCCCGAAGGAATTTAGTGGCTTTGTCGATGGTCGTCGTCAGGTGCCCGCTCAGAGCCTCCGCGTACACGGTGAGGATGAGTTGTTGCTCTTCTCGAGGCGAGAGCAGCGGTGTAGGCGTGGCCGCTGCTTCTGCTGCCCGACCACCACCAGGGCCTTCTTCTGGCGGCTCTCTGGGCCGAGATTCCGACGTAGTCTCCGTCGCTTCTTGGTCCTTCGGCTCAGTTCCTCCTGCTGGCTGCTGCTCTTCCTCGCCGCGACCGCTGCCCGACGCCCGCTGCTTGCCGGACCCGGAGGCCGTCGACTTCTGTGGGCGAGGAAAGAGGGCGTGTAAGTAATGGAGATGGGAGGTGGGAGGGAGGGAGGGAGGGAGGGAGAGGGAGAGAATGAGGACAGAGAGGAGTGAAATATACATGGTAAGAAATGGGGGTGGGAGGGAGGGAGAGGGGGAAGGGAGAATGAGGCTAGAGGGAGTGATGAAAGATGGGAGGTGGGAGGGAGAGGGAGAAAGGGTGGGCGAGGGATTAGGAAGGGAGAGAAAATAAGAGGAAGAAGGAGAGAGAGAGATTAAATCATACAAAACGATTCAGGGAAAGCACAGAAACGGAGCAAAACGCGGGTCAGGAAGTACAAAAGTGACAAAACCAACTTTTTTAGTTTTTCCCCCTTTAATCTTTAAGAAAAAATATACACAAATACAAACAATAAAGAGCAAAGCTTCACCCCATCGTGTCCCTCCAACCTTCCACCTTTATTCTATCTCCTTTTGTATCCGGAAAGAGAGAATAAACAGGGTTCTCGCAGGTATAAGCTGATGTTATTTAAGACCACTTTAAGACATTTCAAAGAATCATACCAATTGCTTTTTTTAAGACCTGGAACCACCTGTCCCGCCACACACACTCTCCCATAATGTGTAGGTCAATTTGTCAGCGACCGAGGTAAAAAAAGAAAGAAAGAAAGAAAGAAAAAAAGAAAGAAAAAGAAGAAAGAAAGAAGAAAAAGAAGAAAGAAAGGAGAAAGAAAGAGAGGAAGAAAGAAAGAAAGAAAGAAAAGAAGAAAGAAAGAGAGAAAGAAAGAGAGGAAGAAAGAAAGAAAGAAAGAAAGAGAGAAAGAAAGAGGAAGAAAAAAAGAAAGAGAAAGAAAGAGAGAAAGAAAGAAAGAAAGAAAGAAAAAGAAAAAAATCGTCCCATGATCTTTACACAGCCTTTAAGATAGATTTCTTTTCCAGAATGTTTATATTTCCAGAATTTTCCAGATATCTTGGGCAAATAAAAGGCATTTTAGGGCCTACAGAAAAAAAAGTAAGACGAGAGAGAGAGAGAGAGAGAGAGAGAGAGAGAGAGAGAGAGAGAGAGAGAGAGAGAGAGAGAGAGAGAAGAGAGAGAGAGAGAGAGAGAGAGAGAGAGAGAGAGAGAGAGAGAGAGAGAGAAGAGAGAGAGAGAGAGAGAGAGAGAGAGGAGAAGAGCAAGAGAGAGAGAGCAGAGAGAGAGAGAGAGAGAGAGAGAGAGAGAGAGAGAGAGAGAGAGAGAGAGAGGAGAGAGAGAAGAGAGAGAGAGAGAGAGAGAGAGAGAGAGAGAGAGAGAGAGAGAGAGAGAGAGAGAGAGAGAGAGAAGAGAGAGAGAGAGAGAGAGAGAGAGAGAGAGAGAGAGAGAGAGAGAGAGAGAGAGAGAGAGAGAGAGAGAAGAGAGAGAGAGAGAGAGAGAGCGAAGAGAGAGGAGAGAGAGAGAGAGAGAGAGAGAGAGAGAGAGAGAGAGAGAGAGAGAGAGAGAGAGAGAGAGAGAGGAGATGAGAGAGAGAGAGAGAGAGAGAGAATGAGAAAGAAAGAAAGAGAGAGAGAGAATGAAAGAAAGAGAGAGAGGGTAAACAAATAAAGAATGAAAGAGAGCAATGAATTACAGAAAGTTGGCGGGTCATGAGGTAACGTTTTTTTTTCTTTTAAAATCCTTTTTAATAGAAACCTTTATCTAGAAAGAAAGAAAGAGAGAAAAAGTAAAGAAGGAAAGACCAAAGAAAGACAGAAAAAGAAAGATGAAAGAAATATACACAAATAATAACATCAAAATGTTAAAAATATTAACCTCGCCGCCGTCTCCTACCTTCTTAACATCCATGGCCTCACTTTCTCAGTTCTTCCAATCTTTACTCTTCTCTTCCTCTTCTATCTTCTGCTTGAGATAGATAAAAAGGATAAAAAGTGAGGAGAAAGTTACCCCACGTCGGTTCTTGGCGAAGGACTGTCGCCGACTGACTGACGTGTTTTTTTTTTTTTTGGAGGGAAAAGCACGATATGAAATTTGTTGTTGAAAGAAATAGAGAAATGAGAATAAAAATCGGAAATAAAAAACGAATTTTAAGTACAAATCGAGATAAAATCAGTTAGAGAGAGAGAGAGAGAGAGAGAGAGAGAGAGAGAGAGAGAGAGAGAGAGAGAGAGAGAGAGAGAGAGAGAGAGAGAGAGAAGAGAGAGAGAGAGAGAAATACATATGAATAAAAGATAAATGGAGAAAAATAAACACGTTTGATTGAAACCAACAGCTGTTACAAAAGTTAAAACAATGAAATTTGGTATGATATAATAATTTATATATATAAACGGTACTAAAATGACTTAAAATGAAAATAAAATAAAATAGGTCTTGCTCACATAAAGAAAAATTATTGGTTAATGAATGACACCCTTTTGGCGGCATTTTTTTTTCTTTTCAAACCAAAAAAGAAAAAATCCTTCTGAAAAACAGGAAATTGGTTATAACTACTGATAAAAAAATCAGTAATTATAACAATAAAATCAAAACGGTGATAATAGCTTAACTTGTAATAATAACAACATTGATATTAGGAGCCTATATTACTTTTTATGTTTCCGTTTCATTTGATAATGATGATAAACAAGATAGGTGATGATGGTAATAACAATAACAGAAAGAGTAATAAATGAAGCAATAATATCACCGAAAATGAGAATAGCGATAAAGGTGATTCGAGAAAAAAATGCATAAATAGGTTAGGCAAGAAATTAGACCAGAGAAAGAGAGGAGAGAGAGAGAGGAGAGAGAGAGAGAGAGAGAAGAGAGAGAGAGAGAGAGAGAGAGAGAGAGAGAGAGAGAGAGAGAGAGAGAGAGAGAGAGAGAGAGAGAGAGAGAGAGATTTTATTTTGACAAGTTTATTCAATATATGATACAGTTGTACATATCTGAAAAAGCATAGTAATTATGCCTAATTGTTTTTATACAATGGTATCATTTTAAGCACATTATATTACATGGAAATAATTCATCAAAATATACATCATATATTTCTTGGAACACAAAGAAAAGAATACATAGGTCACAGTTTACAAAATAATTATCTGTTACAGGCGAATGCACTATATTTTGTAAGGTTGTATTGAAGTTTACCATTTTTAATAAAATCCTTAATGATAGTATATATGGTTTCTTGTCCATCCTTGTCTCGATATTCTTCAATTAATGGGCATAACATAATGTTCAAGAGTGTGAGCATATGGTTGCTTGCACACTTTACATTCAGTATCCCTAACTCTACGGGAAATATTACATTCCCAATAATATTCATACTCCAACCACATCCATTTTCTTTGTTCCTTTATTTGTTATTCCATAAATATGTTTCGTTTTTAATATTTCATTGTGATATGATATTGATCTGTTAATTCGTACTTCATATTCGAAGGAGACAAGAAGTCCTCAGTGCGACAAGATCTTACCTTTGTAAATATGAAAGTATCTCATATATAATATCTTGCGGTGAAGATCACTGATGGCGTGTCCATTATTTGAGATAGTTTAGGTGACGAGATCCACAGGCTACAGCTAAATGGTAGCCTGACAGTCGAAGCTTTGTCAATAGATGAGTGACTGCTGACAATATGCGACATTCCCGGCGCTCATACCTCACGTTCTCCTCACGAAACTCCTCAGTCCAAGAGAATTTAATTTTCCCGAGAATTGAGGTTATGTTTTCTACGGAGAAACTTTAAAGAGGAATTAAATCACTTTAAGGTAATGGCAATGAAGCTTTTTGAGGTGGAAGTTGATGGTGTGAAACGATCGACACCAGATCTTATGAAAAGACACTTAACTTATAAGACACTAACTTATGAAACGTTAGTCCTTTTTAAAATCGGTTAAGCTGGCATGGTATTGTAGTGATTTCCAAGATTTTGATCGTTTTTGTGTAAATTCTTTTATAAGATGGGAGGTATGTGGTAGGCCGTAAAACAAAGGTAATAGTCTACATTTATTCAAAACAGATAATAACGAACTTAAAATGAAAACATAATAAAACAACTATGAAACATAAAAGGCAAACATGAAAACGGAAAACGGAACTTAAAATACAAACATAATAAAACAGCTAATAATGAAACATAAAAGGCAAGCATAAATAAACAGCTAAGAGCAAGACAGTAAAAAACACTAAAAGCTAAAACTAAAACAAAAGAATTCAAATAAAAGCTAAGAACCGAAACATAAAAATACAATAATAAAAAAATGACACAAAATTAAATCACACAATTAAAAAACTAAGAAACAAACATAAAATGAGAACAATAAAAAGAAAAAAACTATGACGGTCCAGCAAAGTAAAATCAAAAGGCTATATAAACACAGCATTTTCTTTCTAATAACTTACTGTCCTTGGTCTCTGTAGCCATAAACATAAGCACTACTTAACTTAGGCTCAGCGGTAGCATAGCCTCTAGTTCTATTTCAAAGTTAGCTTTTAATTCTGAATAATCTTTCCATATGACTTATTTTGCTGGTTATATTGGTAAAAAAAATAAAATTATATAAACAAAGCAAATATATACACAATTAAAAGATATAGAAATACGATAAACGAAATGTTAAAATCAAGTACTTAAAACAAGACAGAAATACGTTCATGTAATTAAAATCAATTAAGGACACTACAATTAAAAAATAAACCAAATAAAACTCAATAAAACGATAGATAAAACAATCAAATTATATAAAAGGTACTATTAAGAACATGGCTTGAAATTTGGCCCAAGAGATGGCGCTCCACGTAAGACAGGGGTGACTCGCCTAAAAGTTCAGATCACTACAGTATCACCTCAAAATAAAGCCATCTGTGCCCAGCCTTATGCGGTGCTTTCACTGCCAGGGTTATGGACGTGTGTGTGTGTGTGTGTGTGTGTGTGTGTGTGTGTGTGTGTGTGTGTGTGTGTGTGTGTATGTGTGTGTATGTGTGTGTGTGTGAAATGTGGAACAACAGAGCATCAAGGAGATGACAAATATCTAGATTCAGGACATCCCAAACGACAAGTAGCTGTGTTAACAAGACTGAGGATCTGGCACACAAGATAAACTCATACGCCACTATTATTACAATATCATGACGATAGATATCTCTACCACTTTCAATACTGATAACATTGATAATGTATATCATAATGATAACATCAAGAATAATAATAACGGTACTGATAATGAAGATGACGATGGAAGAATGATAAAAAAAAAAGCTGTTACCATAACGACATTAAAACCAATAACAAAAATATTGAACTCATAGACCGACAATAAGTTAACGTGATGACAGCAGTAAACTAAAATATAAATTGCACATTACAAGAATAATTGAAAGGAACTATCAGGATATAAATTTTGAGAAAAACTGAAACAAATGTACTTGACAGAAGTCTAATATTTGAAAAAACGACTTTTTAAGAATAGTCACGCCAGTTTTTCATTCATTCCCTTACTCGTTGGATTACAATTATATATGTATGATTATAAATTAGATCACAAATAGAGTTCAATGCACAAAATAGAGCATGCATTCCTTTTGATATAACTGTGTTTCATTTTATCCATGTCACTGTCTTTGTCAGCAAAGTGTTTTAATACAAACCAGATTTTTTTTTTTCAGTAAATATAAAAGATACTGAAGCAAAGACATAGGGCGTCTTCTGTAGCGTTCTTAACTCTTAATACCTATTTAGTTTAATCCTAACTCACCGTGTCCGTACCGAAGACGACACTCTCCGCTGCCAGGCGGCGCAACGATAATTATCTTATGCCTTTTTTTTTTTTTTTTTTTTTTTTTTTTTTTATCTCTGCACTGCTTTGCCTCCTAATTGTTTAAAGCGTTCTGTAAATAATATTTTCATCCTACTCAGCTGGCCCTATAGGTAGGTAGCCCAAGGGCGTTCCCAGCGAGGATAGAACCTCGGACCATATAAATCATCGTTGCAACCAACGGCTGGGCAACCAGGGAGTCAGTCGAAAACAAATTTTTCGAAAATTCCGCGTTCCAATACTACGCAAGCACCTCCCCCCACCCCCCCTGCATACCTCGTCATTCTTTTTCAATCCGCGGTGGCAGATGCATGTGTTTTCGTCGGCTGGGGACAAGTTTTCCTTCTTTGTATTGCTGGTGAGTCTTTGAAGAGGCTTACTTGTTATGTTTTGTCGTCGACTGTATTATTGACTACGTTTTTCTCGTTTCTTTGTGTTTTTATTGCGTTTTTTCTTGTCTGTTCCTTTCGTCGCCGGCTCTGCACCCCGCGGATTGAGTTCACCACCACGGCCTATCCTTTGTTCTGATTAGTTTATTGCTGTTCACTATGTTCCTGTAGTCTATGGGATTATTATTGTTTATATTTATAATTCCTTTATCTCCCATAGTTGTGTTGGGTGCTATTGTTTTTATTAAATATTTGGATGTTTTGCTTTATTCCTCTTTCGCTTCCTTCTGGCATATTATTAGGACCTTATGAGATTACTTTCATTGTGTATTATACATCATATGTGTGTATATATGTATGTATATATGTGTGTATATATGTATGTATATATATGTGTGTATATGTATATATGTATATATATACATCACAATAGAGTCTCAGAGCATGTGCATCATGTACAAGTATATACAGCTCCGTTCGGTGCCCGTCATGGGACGCGGACCGTACGAAACTGTTATAAGACTCGTCCATCATGTATAAGCATATACAGCTCCGTTCGGTGCCTGCCACGAGCCGTACGAGACTGCTATAAGACAAGTGCATCATGTGCAACCATATACAGCTCCGTTCGGTGCCTGTCATGGGACACGGACC